ATGCTGTTCGGGTGATGCTGTTCGGGTGATGCTGTTCAGGTGACGCTGTTCAGGTGATGCTGTTCGGGTGATGCTGTTCGGGTGATGCTGTTCAGATGGTGCTGTCCCAGTTTTACTTCAGGTGTCCTTGGGAATCTCACATTCACCAGGTCTCTCCTTTCATGAACAGGCAGTTACTCACGACTCATATTACAGTTTGAACTGAGAAGAAATGTCCTTTACTTCATTCTGGAGACCTACGTGCCCTCCACTCTGCTCGTCATGTTGTCCTGGGTTTCCTTCTGGATCACCCTGGACTCGGTGCCTGCAAGAACCTGCATTGGTGAGTCCTTGCCTGAGGAAAGGAGAAGATTTCAGCAGGCAGAGGAGCCTTTGAGGGCTGGGTAGACAGTACTTCCCTTGAGCTCCCTGCTCAGGGATAAATGTGTGTGCTCACCTTCTGCTGCTCTTTGGGGCAGAGCTGGCCTGTGAGGAGGAGATGCTGTGACAGGGACATGGGCTCACCTGCAGGGCTGCGTGTGGCTGAGGCTCCCAGGAGAGGGCAGAGCTCGCGATCTTTGTGCTGTGCTTTGGAGAGAGCAGGACAGGGGGATTTTTTACTGAAAGCATGAAAAAGAAAAGAGCCAACTGCCTGTTGGACCCAGGCTGCCAAAGGCAGGGAGAGCTGTGTGAAGCTACTGAATGCTACAAAAGCATTTCAGTTGCTATGATGGATGGTTTGGGCTTGGTAAGAAGTGATGTGCTTTGTCTGGCCAGCAATAGAGAGCAATGACATGAACAGAAGGGTAGGCCGAGACTTCTCCAAATGTCCACAAGGAAAGGTCTCTCTGTTTTCCAAGGAGTTACAACAGTGCTTTCTATGACAACTCTGATGATCAGCTCACGAAGTTCCCTCTCAAAAACCAACTGTTTCATTAAGGCCATTGATGTTTATCTCGGCATCTGCTTCAGCTTCATCTTCGGTGCCCTTGTGGAATATGCAGTGGCTCACTACAGCTCATCACAGAAGTGTGCAGCTCAAGTGCCACGGGAGGTAAGAGGTGCCTTCATGAGGCCAGTGCTCTTGGGCTGACAGCAATTAGTTCTGCATTAACTGAACAAGACAAACGATCTTCCTGCTATGGATACATCATCAGTGCTTCTCCTGATTGGCGCTGAACCGAAACCTTTGTGTGTAACAAACACTGAATTGCACAGGAGTGCTGTGTCTGTGGCAGAGCCACCTCCCCTGGCAGTCCTGTTGGGCTCACAGCACCACATCCAGAAAGGCACCTGGGCCTAGCACTGGGCTGTGCCAGCCCTGAGCTGAGCTCGAGTGAGCAGGAAACTCCTCTGCTCCTCTCAGATGCACCAGAGAAGAGCCAGTGGAACACAGCTCTTCACTCTTCAGCAAACAACTCCAATAAGGGAGGTTCCTCCCTCTACCAGAGGAAAGCTGAACCCTTCCTCCCGTCCCAGAAGATGCTTCCAAACATCTGTCCCACAGTGTTCTCTGGGGATTGTGGGAGTGAGTTGTTCAAGGGCTCTGCTTTAATGTGAGAAATTAAATTAAATTAATTCTCCTCTGCAGGAGAAGACTGACCTTAAAACTGTGCACTCTTGTTCCTAGGGGCCTGCAAATGACCTGACTGAAGAAATGGAAGAAGTTAACATCACCAACATCCTCAACAATTCCATCACCAGCTATAAACAGAAAATCAGCTTCACAAGCATTGAGATTTCCAGCGATAATGTTAACTGCAGTGACTTGACCATGAAAAGTCACGAGAAAATCAAATGTGTCCTGAGAAACAAAATGCACAGGATTATTGGTTATTTCACAATTCAGAACCCTGGCAATGTGGACCACTACTCCAAATTGCTTTTCCCTTTGTTTTTCATGGTGATCAATGTATTTTATTGGACTTATTATCTATATTTTTAGTGGAAATTAGTTGCTTCTGTCTTCTAATTCAGCAGGAGAGGAATTGTGCCAGTGGCCATCCAGGTACCTAACCTCAGTGAATTCAATGTGGACAAAAAGCTTCCTTGTGTTTCCTGAGCAGCAGCAGGAGTGTGTGAGGTTTGCATTTATCAGCACTGACTCTGACAGCAGCTCTTCAGCTCAGTGCCTGTGCTGGGCTCTTCTGCTCGTGCCTGCATTTCATTCCACACCTCACCTGGCTGGGGATGGGTTTGCAGGACTGCACTGGCAGCTGCACAGCTCTGCAGGTGGCAGAATTATTTTGGTGGCTTGGAGCGGGTTGGAGCCTTCAAGCTGAGATGTCCCAGAGGATGGATGGGGTGATGCCTGTTATCCTTTGTTTGCCAGGGAGAACAGAGGGGCTGTCATTGCTGCCTCAATCGCTGCTCTGTTGCACTGGGAGCCCTGGGGCAGCAGCAGGAGCTCGGTGCAGTGCAGCACAGGGGGCTGCAGTGCCAGGACAGGGATTGATGCTGCAGTGGTGCCTCGCTGCCTTTCACACCTGTCACTCCCTGAGGAAAGCCTCACCTGCTGAACTTCTCCACCCCCCACACACGTGGAGGGTTGTTGTTTGTAGAGCTGCATTTTCTCAGAGATGTGGGAATATGAAATAGAGGCAGAAAAATCATTTTGTAACCCGTCTCTTCTACTCTTCCTGCTGTACTGCAGTTGAACAGGTTCTACCACTTTCCATGGCTTCCTCACTAATTATTTTCTGTCCTGGGGACTGTTTCCTTCAGCCCTCACTGCTACAGGCAGCTCTGTCTCCTTGCACATAGGCACAAGTGGCCCATTTGTCATCCCCTCCTTTACCTGGCTGTGCTGCTGGGTGAAAAATGTGTGTGGGTTGGGCTAGGCGAGTCTAAATCACCTTTCACTCTCTGTTTTGGGCTGAAACACTGTTATTTTTTTGAGAAAAATCGTATTCTAAGTGGGCTCTGGAAACTGCCCAAAGTCAGCTTTGTTTATCTTGCAGGAGCCAGAGTTTTCTTTCATAGATAAATGAAACGTGGCTGCAGAGCTACATTAAAGAACCAAAGGCCATTTGGTGCTGTGCAGCTTAAGAGTACTGGGAGTCTTTATTTGCTGGTTGTAAAATGAACGTTTTATGGCAGATTCTCCCACCCCAGCACCTTTTTTTGGTCTGTGCTGGTTTCAGCACTGAGGGGGCAATGCTGCAGGAATGTGGGCAGAGCTGGAATTGCCTGCAGTGGCTCCACTCAGCACAGTGCTGGCTGGGGAGGCCTCTCAGTCTGTAGCTTATGTCACAGTGTTTGCTAAAGGATCTCTTCTCGGGGGCTCCTAGACAAGGTGAGCAGAGCACAGGAAACTATAGATTTTTTACTTTAATAACTTTTTATTGAACCACTTCACCACGCTGTACTGTGAGGGATCTAACCCACATATTCATAAATCATTGCTTTTACTAAGAGCAGCACAGGAAGACAGAGGGGAGCAGCTGACAGTGGCAAGTGGATAAACACAAACTCCAGTAATGAAGTGTTGGCTTGTATATACTGGCATTTGAAGTCCATTCCATTAAATGTAATAAAGTGAATGTTTGTGATATGAGCACAACCCCTCAGAGAGATTCTCTACTACAAAAAAAGAAATCATTCTCTTTTCTGTATTGGTTTCTTTCTTTAAAACCCAACTAAAGTTCCCTAATGTGTTTTACTCTAGCTGCCAAATATTAATGTTAACAAAAGGAATTTCTTTGTACAAACCCTCCAAGATGATGGAGTCCAGCTGTTCCCCAAGCCCTGCCAAGGCCACATCCACAGGGCTTTTAAATCCCTCCAGGGATGGGCACTGACTGCTGCCCTGGGCAGTCTGTTCCAATGCCACCACCCTTCCAGTGAGGGAATGTTCCCTAAAATCCACCCTGAGCTCCCCTGGCCCAGCCTGAGGCCGTTCCCTCTCCTCCTGTCCCTGTTCCCTGTTCCCAGATCCCAAATCCCCCCGGCTGTCCCCTCCTGTCAGGGAGTTGTGCAGAGCCACAAGGGCCCCCCTGAGCCTCCTTTTCTCCAGGCTGAGCCCCTTCCCAGCTCCCTCAGGAATTCTCCAGCCCCTTCCCAGCTCCCTCAGGGATTCTCCAGCCCCTTCCCAGCTCCTCAGCTGCTCCTCTTGTGCTATAGAACCTTTCCAGAAGGGCCTTTTCCCACCTGACAATTCCCTGATTCCAGCTGCTCTCAGGTTTGCTTTCATTAGCCCCAGCTTTAGTTGCAGCCTCGCTGCCCTGGCGTGGCTCAGGGGTGAATCCTCTTTCCCTCAAGACACAGGAGCAGTTTATGTTTATCCAGTTTATCCAGTGCAGCAGAGATGAGGTGAGAGAATGTTGCTTGTATCACAACCTGGTTTCTGGTTGCTTTCCCAGAGGAGGACTGGGGTAGAATATCTGAGCATTCACTGTCATGGAGAACACTCAGTATTGCTGTGACAGAAAGCAGGGGCAGCTGAAGGAACATCCCCCACATTTCCTCTCTGTGCCTGATTTCCTGGTAGTTTTTACTAATGTAACTTTCCATTATAAAGTTTCCATGGCTTTGGAAAATATTAACTTTGCTCCATAGACAGACAGGCCCTACAGTTCTAGCTGGAATATCCTAAAGATTTAGTTCCCAGTAATAATAGGGCTAAACCACAGCACTGCCAGAGGCAAAAGCTATATTATTTGAAATGAAACTTCTCATAAATATCCAGCTATGAAGTAATTCAGCTGCTCTTATATAAACTGGACAAGGCAAACTGTCCTATCCATCACCATTAAGATTGCCAAGAAAAATTACTCTGTATTCATTGTCTGCAGGTCTTGGGGCTCTCCCTTCCCGTTAGACTTTCCCACTGTGGTTTCCCCTCTGAGGAGCTTTGCTGTTCCAGGGTGTTTGCAGCACCAGGGTCAGCTTTGGGCTTCAGCAGGGCAGGGGGACAGGCACCCAGAGCAGGCAGAGCTGTCCCTGCTGCTCACTCTGCCAGCTAACAGCACCCTGAGCTGATCCACCATGGCTCTTGCTCCTGGACTGCAGCACCTGGTGGGAGGGTACAGGAAAAGGGTTTAGAGGAGCAGGCTGGATTTGCCAGGCTGGAAACGTGGGCAGGGCACATGGGTGAAATGTCCTCCTGGTATTTTCTGTGAAAGTCTCCCCACTGCAACTCTCCCCTCTCGAGAGAAGGACTTCAGAGAGGAGCCTGATGAACAACCACTGATGTTTCCAGCACCACCTTTCTGTTCTGGGATGAGAGGCTCAGGTGTTTCTGGATAAGATGGCAGAGCTGTCAGAAATTTAGTCTACTTGAAGGACAGCAGAGACTCAGAAGAGGCTTGAAAAGAACCCTTAATATATCTGTCCCCTTGGAAAGAAATAACTAGTGGGAAAAGGAATCAGTAAGCCTGTATTGAATCAAACCCAGCATTTGGTACCAGCGCAGGGTTATCAGGCACCTCTTTTGTCTATTCAGGTTAAAATTTGGATGTCTGCAGAGAGCAGCAATGAATATGCTGAAATACATAACAGGAGAAATGTACAGTGAGCCACTGTTGGAGACAGGTGCAAGGTGAGTCACCAAAAGTCTGGTCAAAGCCTTTCATGGACAGGTCAGCTTACAGCTAGGGGACACACATTAATTTGGATTTTTATTTTTTTTTAATTATACGTGAAACATTAAAAAAATGAACCTCCATTTTAACCTACAAAGAAAATAATTAAAATGTTATTAAAATATGCAAAATTTATAATTTTATTATACAATTACAGTCTTATAGTCTAATAGCCCCTCTGTATTTTGCATATTAGTGAACAATTGCTTTCTTAAAGCTCACAGCAGAATCATTTACTTGATGCTGGAGAATAAGTTAATTATGGATCTTCTGCTTTTGATTAATGGATTTAATAATCATGTTACAGTAGGATTAACTCATAGTGCATGTGCTTCCAGCACTAATGATGAGATTCATGAAAGCAGTGTCAGCACCCAGGCCTGGAGATCCCAGTCAGCACTGCTGGGAGGAACCAGCACATGGCATCAGTCCCCCCCTTTTGCCACTTTCTTCAACAAAATTAACAACTGCTCCCAGCTGAGCCAGGCAGACTGAAGCTCACTCTGGGTGCTGTGGGGGAACAGTTTTCCTAGGGTACAGCAGCAGGTCATGCACATACCCCCTGGGCACAGCCACCTGTAGCCTGCTACAACCCAGGACAGCAGGCTGAACTTTCTGCAATGCTTCTTTTGGGAAGATAATACAAATCTAAAATTCCTTGGATAGAAACACACTGAGTCAGCCAAGGTTTCCTGTTGCTGAAGAACCTCCAGTGTAGCCTAAGAAACTGAGCACTCTAGTTCCTAAACTTGACTCTGGATGTTCAAGGAGAGGACCCATTGCAGGGCAGAGAAGGCAGAAGGAACACATGGAAGTTGTTTTTTTTTTATTCTGTTGTTATTCCTCACAGGACTCCTGGGCATGTCTGCATAAGAACCAAGTCTGCAAGTCTGGCAGGAGCTGCATTGAGAAACCTTCACTTAATTAAAACTCACGTTGGGACAAATAAAAACAGAATAAAGAGCCAAACCATATTTTGTCTGAAGGAGCAGTACCTCAAAAATCACAGCAACAGGATTTCAAGCTGCATCAGCCACGCACCTTATGACACAAAGCAGAACTGTGTGGTACCGAGCAGAGGCTCAGGAACAGCCCTGGGCAGCTTTGCCATCCCCTCCCTGCCCACCAGCCAAGCCCAGTTCCCACAGGAAGGTGCCAGAACTCCCTGCACTGATCGTGCCACGTGGAAATACTGGGGGAAAGCCAGGAAAATTGCTGCACAGCCAGCACAGCCCTTCCTGCTGAGAGCAGGGCCCGTGAACGCTGCTCCACCTCCCTGCTCAGGACTGGATTCTCCAAGGGGTCACTTCCCACCTGGTGGCTCCCCATCCTTGCAGCCCCTGGGGCTGCCAGCACAGGGCACGGCACTGGGCACAGGGCACTCTTTGTTTCTTTGTTTCTTTGTTTGTTTGTCCTGCAGCTCCAGCACTGACATTCATCCACTGCTGCTTGTGTTTCCTTCTGGGAGATATTTAGGATTAATTCAAGGTTTGTGCTGAAAATCAACACTTTTTCCTACCAAAGCAAACTTCAGGGACTAGAGACATCCTGAATAATGCATATTTTACTCCTGGAGCAGATGGGACTGAGCCTTTCCTGTGCCTCTTTGAACCCAGCTGTGCATTCTGCTCTGGCTGCCACTCATCCATCCCGAGTGGGGAGTTCTCCTCAGCTTGTCAGAGCTGGCTTGGTAATGAAAGACAGAGAGTGACCAGGCCATTTCTCCCTGTCACACCACAGTGCTTTAACCTCAATTTGTTCCAGGTGATCTCAGGAATCTGTGACCACATAACCCTCAGCTGCAGATCATCTGCCAGCTGTTTAAACAAGACTGCAGGCACTTCCATTCTTCATTTAGAGGCTGAATCCACCAAGAATCTGCATTGCATGAGTCAGGTAAATGCCAAAAATGCTTTCTAGGATATCTGTGATGGATTTCCTCCATGCCAGCTCACAGCAGGTACTTCCTTGCAATAACCTCACTGTTTTACAGCCCTAAGAGCCCAGGTTTCCTGACGGATGCCAGACAAAGCTCTCCCTTCCCAGGGGTGGCTGCAGCCCCTTCCTGCTTTGGCTCCACTTTGCACATGTGGCTTCACCCCTGTAAGCATTCCTTTACTTCATATGAGCCTTACAAATCCCTGTTCTGTAGGTACTCATCCCCTACAGCTGTACAGACAGATAATGAAATACACTGTGATGAGTAGACCCTACAATGCAAAGCTCAATGTCCCATTAGGACTTGATAAAGAAATGTGAAATAAAACACATCAAACGGGACAAAAGAATCAATTTCCCATTAAATTAAGTGGTTACTTTTTTTTCTGGCTCTCAGTGTTAAAAGCATCAATTACACACATGATTTACTTGTTTACAGTCTGATTTGGAGTTCAAAGCAAAAAGGTGCACATATAGAATATGGATTATCCCAGTGATCAGAGGAAAAACCCAGTGCCCTTCAGGTGTCTCCAGGCTTTGAGAAGTGTTATCAGTGTAGGCTGGGGAAAATTGCATTTTGTGCTCTTCAGGAGAAGGAAGTGATTCTGAGCAGCCTGCTACTTTAACTCAATGGAAGAGGTAATCCCAAATGGTGCAGAAGGTATGGAGCTGAATTTGGGAAAAGCCATGGAAATGTTTGGGATGAAAAGTCAATATACAGCCTCAAAAGATTTGCCTTTGGGAATGCAGCCAGAGGATGCAAGGCTGGTACAACAAAATGAATCCTTCACTGAGCTTGTGCAAGCAGCTGCACACCATGAACAAAAAAAGAGGAGGAAAAGCTGCTCGTGGAAGATTTAGGAAAAGTAGGTACAAACACGACTTCTCTTTTATTTCAGCTTGTTAACAGAGTCTTAGTTTTATGTGTTTATCTTCAAACTGTGATGCACATGGGGTTATTTTAAGCTGACACCCAGGCAGTGTAGCTTTTGCAGGCAGTGGTGATCCTTGACCCAAGGCACTGAGCCATGCTTGCTTCACTTCCACCTGGCCAGGCAGGGAGAGGAATTGCTGCTGAGCTGCACGTGGTCTGAACAATGGTAACAGCCTGTGGGCTCCAGACAAAACCTCATCTGAAAGGATGGGAGATTTCTGCCAGGAGACAGGGAGCATGTCTACATCCTGAGATGGAGAGAGAAGAGTGAAGAACCTGGTGAGAAACGACACTGCAAAGCCATGTCCCTGAACTGGCAGCCATGTACACACAAAATGCACAGAAAGAAATCCAAGCTACCTCTTTCTCTTTCCTTCATAACCTGCAGTGTAAGCACATCTTAAGAAACTAAGGCAGAGAAGTGCTTTGAAAATTTGAGCACAGCACCGAAGACTTGAGCAGAATGTGCTCCTGAAGCTGTAGCAGTTGTGTTATATAATATAAATATAAATATAAAATTCCTCACGTGTGCCTGTGCTCTAAACCTTTGCACGTTGTTCTTCGAGCCGAACGTGGATCACTCATTTTGTGTTGCAAAGCACGGACACCCACAAACACTGGAAAGAAAATACATGGAGAGTCAACAATGGGTCCTTTAATGGTTACAGGCATCTTTCATCTTAAACCTGAAAGTCAGCTCCAGCTGCCTTGGATTGCCTCTTGCTTGTATAGAGCCTGTAAATAAAGTGTTAATTCAGAGCCCTAGCTGTGGTCAGGAATGGATCACCCCGGGCTTTTGGGTGCTACTTTGTACACGTTTATATTTTTGAGACCATCTATTTCATCTGATGGAGGGGAGGGGCACTCACAGCAGTGACTTTTTTCATTTTACTCTCCTTTACCCTGTTCCCCTTTCTACAATAGCTGCAATGTAATGTTTCAGTAGAGCAAGGCTTTGCAAATTTGGCTCAATGAGACACGGAGCAAACAGCTTTTCAGAGAGCTTCAACTCAGCTGTCAGAAGGGGCAGTTTGGTCTCTGTGCAAGCAGTACTCACATTCCAAACTGCATTAGAGAAAAGCTGCTGGGGTTTTATGCATTTTTATTATCAGTTCCAGATTACGAATCTGATACTCATTTTTTTCTCAAAGCCTGTCTTTGGAGTACATCTAATATTCTAAAACAAAACCAGGATTGTGATGTTTTTCTCTCACTAGCTTGCTCTTTTTTTTGGTTTACTTTTTTTTCCTCTCCCTGGCTTTACTCCAAGGACCTTTTCTGCTTTTTGTTACACTCTGGAGATGAAGCACCGGCTGGTTACAGCAGTGCTGGTAGCACTGGTTCAGGTGTCGCAGAGTTTCCCTGCCTTGTACCACCGAGGCTGGTGGAGGCTGCTGAGGGAAGGGGACAGCTGTGGGAAATGCGATTTGGCGCTGTGCTCCGAGCCCAAGGACTGCCCGGCGGGGACGGTGCCCGATCGCTGCGGCTGCTGCGCCGAGTGCGGCAACGCCGAGGGGCAGATCTGCGACTTGGACCAGGACAGCCACTTCTATGGGCACTGCGGGGATCACCTGGAGTGCAGGCTGGATGCTGATGAAGCAAGGTTTGGGGAAGTCCCTGAACCCCAGTGTGTGTGCAAATCTCAAGAGAGCATCTGTGGGCGTGATGGGAAAACCTACGAAAACATCTGTCAGTTCAACAAGGCTTATGCTGCGAAAAGAAACATCAGCATGAAACATAAAGGGCCATGTGAATCAGGTAATGTGCACAGAGGCACTTCCAAACTGAAAAAAGAGCTGATTCTTATCTTAGATGTGTTACTAGTTACTCTAGCCTAACTTCATTAAACTAACACTGTGGTTTTGTTACAATTAGCATTATTCTGTTATAATACTACTTTGTGTTAAACGTGTTTCAGTATCTGGTACTTAATCTTGTCTCTTGTAAGCCTCTGCATTAGACCAGGGGGATAAATCTCATGGTGACTAATAAGGCATCAATCTACAACCTGGGTCTGTTCTGAATAATCAGAATATGATAGCTATAATCAGAGTATGATTCTTTTTCTACAGAAGTTGTAGTTGGGAATGTGTAGTTGGGAATAGGCAAATGATTGTTATTGTTACAGGACTGACCTAATTTTAAAGTGGGCTAGTAAAGCAGATCTCATTTACATATATGTATATATTTCCTGTGTATACATACACACACAGGTACATGTATGCATGTGTGTGTATATGTGTGCATCCTCCTGTGGGGATACGTGGTAAGCAGTGAAGCAGGGGCAATAGAAGAAAATTTGATTTAATTAACATCTCTGTTCTTTTTACCAAAAAGGTCCAAAATAATCCAATTCAGAATCATCATAAAATCTAGCTAACCCATGAAAGAGAAATCTGAATAGTAGAACAGAATTAAGCTGAAACAATTTCCCTAAAGGACTCTTAAAGTGCACAGTTGTCCCTGATGATGTCAGTGCAAGGATTCTTAGGTGGGCGTGCAGGGGGCTCCTGCTCATAGGCTGCTCCCATTCTTTGCATTGCTACAAGTCATTACTCCTGGGCATCTTTCACTTGAGACACGACTATAAAATGAAAATGTGAAGAGGCTTGTCTTTGTTTCTAAATGAGAAATTGCTGTGGTTTTCTAAGTTAACCAAATATTTTCTCAAATGAAGTGAGTAGAAAAGGTCTGTGGGTCACAAATGGGGCACAATGGGGGAATCAGAAATTGCAGCTCTGGCACAGGACTGCATCCAGGAGTAACTCGGGTGTATTTCACCCACTTCTCTCTAGCAGTCTTGGACAGTACGCTGTGGTTTTATATTGAATGAAAAGGGATATTGAACACCTAGAAAAAGTGATAAACAGCTAATATCAGGCTTCTTTCCTCTTGCTCTAGCTGCAAGAGAAGGATCCATTGGAGAATCCTGTCTTTGCTATCAGGGTGTTAAGCTGGGAAACGAGGCTGAGGAAGGGGACGAGGCTGAGGAAGGGGACGTGCACGGCAGGCTGCAGTACAACTGCAAGCTGTTATCCCGGCAATGAGCGCTTGGTTGGGATTCAGCAGCCGCAGTTCTGCTGGCAAAACCCCCCAGCAAGATTTGGGCCAGAAGTGACGCTGCCTTGGCGAGCGCCGGTAACTGCAGCAGCAGCAGCTGCTCAGGCACACAGGATTAAAGCAGCGCTCCCTCTAATTAATTCAACAGAACGGGCCGCGTATAAGAGGCTTTTTAATTTGGAAGTATTACCACTTTTAATTGCTGGCCGCCCCCGAGGCGCATGGCGCTGCTGCTCCTGCGGCAGGAGAAGGATCTGGGCTGCTCCGCATCACCCAGCGCTTCCCACTGCTTCCCTGAAAATGGGGAATTCCAGGAATGCAGGGAATTATCCTCAGCGCTCAGCTTATTGAACTGCCTGCGGAAAGTTCACAGCCGTGTCACTGCTGAGCAGAGTTTAGTCAAGACAGGGGCTGTGCCCGGGCTGGGCAGAGCCGGGGAGCTGGGACAGGGTCACAAATACCCTTCACCTGTCCCTGAACTGGGACAGGGTCACAAATGCCCTTCACCTGTCCCCGAGCTGGGGCAGGGTCACAAATGCCCTTCACCTGTCCCCGAGATGCCGCTCACCACGCTGGCTCGGAGCTTTAGAGCCCGGGGATGCAGGAGGCACGGAGGGGATGCAGAGGGGATGCAGCAGGCACAGAGGGGATGCAGCAGGCACAGAGGGGATGCAGCAGGCACAGAGGGGATGCAGTTGGCACAGAGGGGATGCAGAGGGGATGCAGCAGGCACGGAGGGGATGCAGAGGGGATGCAGTTGGCGCAGAGGGGATGCAGAGGGGATGCAGTTGGCACAGAGGGGATGCAGAGGGGATGCAGTTGGCACAGAGGGGATGCAGTTGGCGCAGAGGGGATGCAGAGGGGATGCAGTTGGCACAGAGGGGATGCAGAGGGGATGCAGTTGGCGCAGAGGGGATGCAGCAGGCACGGAGGGGATGCAGCAGGCACGGAGGGGATGCAGGAGGCACAGAGGGGATGCAGAGGGGATGCAGCAGGCACGGAGGGGCTCGGAGGGGTCGCCCCGGGCTCGGCTGTCCCGGGACCCCCCAGCCCAGCCCAGCCCGGGCCGGGGCAGCTGCAGACAAAAGGCAGCTGAGCCTGGCTCTGAGAGCAGCGAACGCTGCGGCACGGGCTGTCCTGACTGCAATTTGCATTCGAAACAAACACTGAGCACTGTGGGGTTCTGGTACCAAGCTATAAATATAACCTTCACTCCGCTCAAAGTACTTTGTTTTGTTTTTCTCTCCTTCAAAGCATCTGCTGTTTCTTCTTGATGCCAAATGGACTAATTGTATACAGCAACAATGAATAAATAAGAAACAATAAACTCCTTTCATCAGAGGAGAACAGCCTTTCATCTTTTTTCTCTTGCCAGAAAAAAGGAGAAGAAAAAGGCCTAGCTCACTAAAGAAGCACGGAAAAATCCTTTCTTTTCCTGACAGCTAGTTTTAGTCAGTTTATCTCACCATTTACCAAGGTTACTAAGTGCATTGATTAGATGCAGATTCTCCACACCTAAACCATTCACATTCAGGCATTTCTCGTTGATAATTTAACGAGCTGCCAGAACAATCCTGGAGCACTGGGCAGCGCTGACCAGCTGCAATGTGGATTTGTGATTGAGAGCTTTGTGTCCTGCAGGCTCCAGATGTGTTCCAGGGGTGCTGGGGACAGTGACAGGGGCAGGAGCCAGAGCCTGGCCACAGTCAGGGCTGGCAGGGCGTCCACAGGACACCGGGGCTAACAGCACAGCGAAAATAGCAGGCAGCAGCTGCCTCTCTGGAGAGGTTTTTACACTCTGCCTCTGTGTGTGAACAATTTATAGAGCTCCTGTGAGCCAATGTAAACTTCAGGTTTCTTTTGTGCATTTTAGGCTTAACTCGCAGTGGATGTATCATTAAAAGGAGTGTGGTTTCAATTAATTTTAAGATTTTAAAGCATTCTTTAATATCAGACCCTCTGTGATCATTTCATAGACAAGAAATATTCTCGTCCAAGATATTCAGTTAATGATGATTTGAAGGAAGATTTTTGAACTAATAGATTCTGAATGCAGCATTCTCATGAAAGAACAAGCATTTAAGGATTTAAGTTTCCTAGTTTGAGAAACCTTACTCTTGAAGTGTAGCAAGATTGTTTAATGAGGCATTTATAAGTGGGAAAATGGATAGTTTTCCGTATAATTTGTTTGCAATTAATTTTAATCATTACTTATTTAATATTTTCTGCACAGACACCAATCCTGAAAAATGTGTTAGAAATTGTTGCTAGAAACCATGGAACAGGCTGTTACAGTTTCAAATGCCGAATGGTGCACCTAGGTATTGATTCAAATATTGCAAGTAAAAATATATTAAGTATTTATTTAAGTTTCTATTTCCAAGCATCTGGTATGTGAAAACAATTAAATACAAGCCAAATTAACCCAGAAAATGCATTCCTTTTTGATCACTGGTCTGGAAATAGATAGAAAACAGGTTTTAGAAGGCAAAATATTTCTTGTTGTAGACAAATCAGGAAAAAAAAAAAAAAAAAAAAAAAAAGAAAAAGAATCAGTGCGGAGGCTCCGGCGATGCTCGAGCCCCGGGCTGGCTCCCTCTCGTGGCTGCCGGCAGCTTTTGCTTCGGGAAAAGGGAAAAAGGAGAATTCCGAGGCAGTCAGTGAACACTGGAGGGGGTGACAGTGCCAGAAGGTAAGTGGAAATGTAACAGGTATAATAAGCATAAGATGAAACCTTACAGAAATAACTGAATTTCAATCCTTTTCATTCCTAACACGAATATTGGATCGATAGCAATTGGGGATAAATGCAGAATGCATTAATAATGTAACTTGTCATTTCCATGGGTAACAGTGCTCAACAATGTTCAGCGACTTCAGGGCACTGGTGCACTCAGAAAAATCCAGCACCAGCAGCATTTTGGCTTTCAGCTAACCAGAGTGTAACACACTGAGAGCTGTTCACAGTCAAGGCCTCGGTGACTGCAGGATTCCCTGTGCTCTGCTCTGGAGCCAGCTCGGCTCCTGGTGGCTCTGCTGGGGACCAAGCCTGGCCACAACGCCAGCTCATGGGGCAAGTGAAAGCCACGGTGTCAGCCCGGGCTCCACGCTCACCTGCAGGCAGGAGCAGACCTGAATGAGCATTTCTGGAAAGCACAGGCTCGAGGTTTCCTGAGCCCCCCAAGGTTCTCACGTGGCTCTCCACAGGGTGTGAGAGCCCCAAGGCAAACACAGCCTGCTGGGATCCCGTGGGGCTGCGATTCACGTTCACGACCCTGCTGTGTTTGTGTGCTTTGTGCACTCTCCTAAGGCACCCTGTTGGTTCTTTGCAGCTCCTGTGATTTCTCTGCCACCCCGGGATGCCCAGAATTACACTGGCAATGATGTCATTTTTGGCTGTGAGGTGTCTGCCTATCCTATGCCACAGCTTGAATGGAAGAAAAAAGGGAATAAAATGTTTCTGCCAGGAGATGACACCCACGTCTCAGTTCAGGTAAAACTTGAATTCACCACTGGGAATAGGAGCAGGGTGGTTAATCTGTGAATTCCTCCTACAGAACACAATCCTGTTGTAATAAATAGATTCCCAGTAGGGGCCCTGTGCCTGTGCAAAGAATGATGATTTCTGTCAGTGCTTCAGCAGCCCCAGCAGAAGGAAGAACAGCCAGGCTGCTTTTGCTCCTTTGGGAGCCTTTAGTCCAAGGCAGTTGAAAGTGCCATGAAGTGTGAAAGTTCCCGTGGAATGTCATGGCAATCCATAAAACCTGGCTGCTGAGTGTCAGCTTGGTCAGGCTCCCTAAAATCCCCCCAGACCCACTCCCATCTCATGCCCGGCTGTGAAGCAGCAAATGGTGCTGGGACAAGGGGCAGGAGGAGCCCGGGGAAGAGGGGGAGGAAGAGGAGCAGGAATGTGAGCACCGTGCAGGGCAGGGAAAGAGCAGAGATGGGAAAGCACAAACTGCAGAGCAGCAGGAAGGTAAAACAAAGGCAGCAAGAATAAGCAGAATCAAAGCATGATGGCATTTAAGAAAAAGCAAAAGCTGTAATGATATTTAATCCATGCACAATTATTTTGAGAAATATCATGGTGTCTCCTAGCTACTTAATTTCAACCATTTCTTTCCTTCTCAAAGGCAAGAGGTGGGCCTCAGAAGTATGGTGTGACAGGCTGGCTGCAGATTCAAGGCCTCAAAAAATCAGATGAAGGCATTTATATCTGCCACACCAAAAACAAGCATGGTGTAACATACGCCTCTGCAAGACTGAAAGTCATTGATGGTAATTTTTTTTTTTTTTATGTAAAAAATGTAAAGATGCATACAGGCAGGATGCAAAGGATGGGGTTGTTGGAATGCAAATGAAGTGTAGAAGAAATTACCCAAAGCTACCCATATTTTCACTCTTCGGTGTGCTTTTACTTTACTTTATCCCCTAATGGGTTTATATAGAAATATTTTGCTGCAAATTACACCAGCTTCCAGGAAACAGAAAGCTGTGGGTTGGAGCCATACAGCTGAGACACATTACTCCACTGCCTTAGCCCAGAGAAGCCCTCTGACGTTAGCAGGACCCAGAACAACAGCTGGTGTAACTGAGGGAGTCTTGGAATCAGGGCAGCTCTGCTTAGCTGTTTATTTTTCATCAAATTCAGAAGGAAACAGTTGTTGTTCCTTAATGAGAGTGGCTCCAAAGATGTAAGAAATAGCTTTGCTATTGATTTGCTTTGGGCCCAGCCCTGCAGAATAATAATCTTCTTCCTCCACGGAGAACTGTTTTTCCTGGCAAATTCAGGGTAAAAATGTATTGTCATATTTACATTGTCATATTTACCTCCTGGTCTGGGGCAGTTTGTCACTCTTCCAGTTTCTACAAGTGGCTTTCAAAGCTTTATTTTCTCTGGGAGTATTTGCAGATGCAGTGGAGCTGCAGAGGACTGATATCATAGTTTAGCAGCATTAGGAATTAAATGCATTTTCAACATGTCTCAGGCCAGGGAGATGCTGCCAGTGTGAGACAGGCTGAGCTGCTGGGGGAGAGGAGGGTCTGGGCAGATCCCTGAGCCCTTCCAGTCCCTAAGGGGGAGTACAAGGAGGGAGAAGGGCTTTTTATACAGACAGACAGTGGTTGGACAAGGGAGGATAGTTTTAAACTAAAATAGGAGAGATTTAGATTGGATTTTAGGAAGAAATTCTTTACTCAGAGCGTGGTGAAGCACTGACACGGGTTTTTCAAAGAAGCTGTGGCTGCCCCATCCCTGAAGTGTCCAAGGCCAGGCTGGACAGGGCTTGGAGCAGCCTGGGACAGTGGAACTGTCCCTGCCCATGGCAGGGGTGGAACCAGATGAGCTCTAAGATCCATTTCCAGCCAATCTATTCTGGGAGAACATGATTCTATGTAGAAATTTGCTCATGACCTGCAGTGCTATGAGGTCAAGCCATCAGCTGAAACCCCTGTCCTTCTCATGATAACAAGGGTTCAGGAACTCTGAGCTTGCTGTACAAATCCAAACCCATACCTGCTCTGTGCTCCCATCTTCAAATGATGTAATCTGCCTTCAATTCCATCCTGCAGACCCATCTCCTGCATTTGCATTTACTGCTGGCAGCAGAAGTGCAAGCTACAGCATTGAATACGAGGAGTATTATGACAATTCTGATGAGGAAGATGATGAAGAATATGAATCCGGGGACTACGATAATGAAAGCAACTCTGAATAATAATTTTTATACATCTGTTGTCCAAATCCTTTCCCACTGTTATATTTACCAGTAGTGTCTGTTCTCTCTGATAACACACACTCACTTGTGTATCCACCTTCCTGAAATACAGCTTTGGATGAAGTGTACCATGCTACTCACCAGAAATAACAACAGTTGTTACACCATGTATTTAGACTCTTAAATAAAATCCTTCAACATGCACCTTTCTAATAAGTATGCCAAAGGGATCCAATTTTATATTAATTTTAAAATTGTCTTCTAATTTCTTTCACATATTCTAATTTGTCTAGTAAAAATGCCAATAGTTAAACAAAAATTTTACTTCGTATCAAATTTCTTTTTTTTTTTTTTTTTGTAAAGTACTAAGAAATATCATTTTTTTTTTTTTTTTTTTGTAAAGTACTAAGAAATATCAAGAGATTGTTCACATGGCAAGAAGCCTAAGTAAGTATGGAGGTTGCAAACCAGTCTTCAATCTCTGTAGTTCATTTTTTCTCATAAGTTTCAGCAGGATTTTCCTTATCATTTGAAATTTTTCGTGTGTCGTCAAAGGGGACTTATCTGTCTTTTGGGGGATGATTTTGTTTAGTGCCAATAGATACATGAAGCAATCATGGTCTAAAGGCAGTAAGTGCTGTTTTACAGTCAATGCTCAAACCTAGCCAGAAAAGATTCCTGGAGCATCCAAACCTCTGAGCACACCTTGGGGCTCCTTCTTGGAGCAGCTCCTGCCTTGGTCCCACAGCAGCAGCTCCTCCTGCTTTGGGAGCCCAGGGATTGGATCTGAGCCTCCCCTGAGCAGGGGCTGCCTGGGGACATTGCTGCAGTTTTCGATGCGTGCCCTTCAAGCTGCCCAGGATCTGCGGCTGGGAACAAGTTTCTCCTATGCCCGAGCCACCAGCATTGCCAGGCTCTGCAGGGGCAGCAAACATCCAGAGCACAGGAACATTGTTCTGACTGATCCATGGACCAGACACCAAAGGAGATGGAGTCAAAAACGATTCCAAGGGTTGAGTGAACACCCTGAGCCGTTCCTCCAATTGCTTTTGTTAACTAATTGCATAAAGGCTGGCTCGGAGTTAACGAGTAATGGAAAACACCAACCTGCACTTTCACCTCTGGTTCCCACTGGCAGCCCTAAATTA